CCTCTCTCTCGTGTCTGACTTCTGTTATCTTGTCATAAAACTCCAGGAGGTTTGTGATACAAGATTTGTCTTCCATGAACCCATGCTGGTTTTCATTTATAATCTTGTTCCGTTCCAGGTGTTCGACCACTCTCCTCCTGATAATCTTCTCCATGACTTTGCACACAATACATGTCAGAGACACAGGTCTGTAGTTTAGCGCCTCGTTTCTGTTTCCTTTCTTAAATATGGGGACTACATTTGCTGTCTTCCATTTCTCAGGTAGTTGCCCAGTTTCAAGGGATGTGTTGAAGATTGTGGTTAGAGGCACGCACAGCATCTCTGCTCCTTCTCTAAGGACCCATGGGGAGATGTTGTCCGGTCCCATCGCCTTTGAGGTATAAAGGTCACTTAGCAGCTTCTTCACCTACTCCTCGGTTGTTCGTATGTCATCCAACACTTGTTGGTATATTCCCTCTTGATGTTCCCTTCTGTGCTGTCTTCCCACAGCCCTTCCTGTCTCTACTGTAAAAACTTCCTTAAATCTCCTGTTTAGCTCCTCACATACCTCCTGATCATTTCTTGTGAGTTCTCCCCTTCTGTCCTTAATCTGATCACCTGGTCTTTGACTGTTGTCTTCCTCCTGATGTGGCTATACAACAGTTTCGGGTCAGTCTTGATTTTCGATGCTATGTCATTTTCATACTGTCGCTGGGCCTCCCTCCTTACCTGTGCGTACTCGTTCCTGGCTCTGCGACTGATCTCCCTATTTTCGTGTGTTCTCTGCCTTCTGTACTTTTTCCATTCTCTATTGCACTTTGTTTTTGCCTCCTTACACCGTCGGGTAAACCAGGGGCTCGTTCTGGTCTTCCCGTTGTTTCTGTTGCCCTTGGGAATAAACCTTTCCACTGCCTCCTTGCATTTTGTTGTTACATATTCCATCATTTCGTTTACTGACTTTCCTGCCAGTTCTCTGTCCCACGGGACCTCTCGCAGGAAGTTCCTCAACCCTATGAAGTCCCCTCTTTTATAGTCAGGCTTTTCCCATTCAACTCCTGTTACCCTCTCCACTTGCAGCTCTACTATATATTCAAAGCACAGAACCACGTGGTCGCTAGCTCCTAGGGGACTCTCATACGTGATGTCCTCAATGTCTGAGCTGCCCAGGGTGAACACAAGGTCCAATCTTGCTGGTTCATCCTCCCCTCTCACTCTGGTAGTGTCCTTAACATGTTGGTGCATGAGGTTTTCCAGCACCACGTCCAACATCTTGGCTCTCCATGTTTCAGGACCCCCATGTGGCTCCAGGTTTTCCCAGCCAATCTCCCTGTGATTGAAATCCCCCATAACCAGCAACTTTGCTCTGCTGGAGTGAGCTCTTCTTGCCACCTCAGCAAGTGTGTCCACCATTGCTCTGTTGCTCTCTTCATATTCCTCTCTTGGCCTCCTGCAGTTCTGTGGTGGATTATACATCACTGCAATGACCACCTTGTGTTCCCCAGACTGAAGTGTACCTACTATGTAGTCTCTTTCTCCCGTCTCATCTATGCCTTCCATTTTCTCGAATTTCCATCTGTTTTTTACGAGCAGAACAACCCCACCTCCCCCTCTGCCCCTTCTATCTTTCCTCATGATCTAGTATCCTGGTGGGAAGATTGCATCTGTTATTGTCTCCGTGAGTTTTGTTTCTGTAACTGCTATGATGTCTGGGGACTTCTCATTGATTCTTTCTTGCCATTCCTCATGTTTATTCGTTAATCCATCTGCATTTGTGTACCAAACCTTCAACTTCTGTTCTAATACTGTAACTGTGGTGCGGGGGGTGGGAACAGAGGGATCGGTGTGTGATGGTTGGTTTGGATTGTTCAGTTGCCTTGGGGGTGTCGTGGCTGGGGTCCTTCTGCAGGTGTTTCTGGGGGGTGTGCTTGTCCTTCCACTTGTTCCTGGGTTATTCTGCTCTCCTTTTTCATTTCCTCCCATTTCTCCTTTTGTTTTTGAGCTCTCTCTTTCATCGTCTTCCTTTCCTCCTGTGTTCTGTCTCGATCGAGGTACACACTCATGAATTCCTGCCTGCTTCTCAGCCGTGCTTTCTCCTGCAGGATCATGGTTTGGGTTGATTCTGCCTTGAAAATTACTTTGAGAGGCTGATTCCCTTTCTTTGTGAACCACCCGATTCTCCGAAAATTTGCCACCTGTGTCATGTCCCCCTCGCCAATCACCTTCATGATACCTTCAATTGCTTTTTTCTCCTCCTGTTTTCTTTCTTCATAAGTTTCCCATTTAGCTTCGTCTAGCCCATAGACAAACACTGATCTCTCCCTTTCCACCTCCCACTGTGACTCCCATTGCATCCTCTGATGTGTTTTAGTTCCTTCCCGTAGAGTGTTCCTTCCTTCAGTCCCTTCCCTAGCTATGTGTACTCACCTATTTGTGGTAGCAGGGGTCGATTCTTAGCTCCTGTTCCCGTGTATGCGTGTGTGTATGCGTGTGTGTACTCACCTAGTTGTACTCACCTAGTTGAGGTTGCAGGGATCGAGTCCAAGCTCCTGGCCCCGCCTCTTCACTGGTCGCTACTAGGTCACTCTCCCTGAACCTTGAGCTTTATCATACCTCTGCTTAAAGCTATGCATGGATCCTGCCTCCACTACATCGCTTCCTAAACTATTCCACTTCCTGACTTCTCTGTGGTTGAAGAAATACTTCCTAACATCCCTGTGATTCATCTGTGTCTTCAACTTCCAACTGTGTCCCCTTGTTGCTGTCCCATCTCTGGAACATCCTGTCTTTGTCCACCTTGTCAATTCGTCTCAGCATTTTGTATGTTGTTATCATGTCCCCCCTATCTCTCCTGTCCTCCAGTGTCGTCAGGTTGATTTCCCTTAACCTCTCCTCATAGGACATACCTCTTAGCTCTGGGACTAGTCTTGTTGCAAACCTTTGCACTTTCTCTAGTTTCTTTACGTGCTTGGCTAGGTGTGAGTTCCAATCTATGTGTGTGTGTGTGTGTGTGTGTGTGTGTGTGTGTGTGTGTGCTCATCTAGTTGCATAGGGTGCATAATAAACATAATAATCTTGAGACGCAGGCAGTGGTTTAGTACTTTTCTGTACATAACCTCCTCATCCCCCCCCCCTTCTCACGGGAGGTGCCTTAATGCCGGTAAGAGGCCCTTTCCATTCTTAGATTGTACCTAATTGCCTCTCATTGTCCAGGCGTTATAGGAATATCAAGGAATAGTATATAGTGATACAAACATTATTTGAAAATGCCAAGAGTCTTCTTATTATTTCTATATGTACAATTCACAGTGCACAACAGGTAGGATTTTCTTTATTCATGTACTGGCTAAGTTAACTACCAGACTGCTAGCTCCATCGTGCCAGAATGTCAAGAAGACAACTCAGGTGTTGACACTGGCTCCCCGCTGTCTACAGGGTGAGACAACGACTGACTTTCAGTGTGTGCTGCCAGGAGGGATTGTGTCTGCACTTGATTGATTTGCTCCGCAACTTATAATTTGCAATTAAAGCTAAGTTCCGGTTATTTAAGTTCAGGACTTTAAGTTAAGAAATTGTTAATTATGATAAGTTAGGAGTGTTTGCAAATACTTGTGTAGCGGGTATCAGTGAAGGTACCCCACCTCGGTGATGTTGTCTGAAACTGTTTTTCTTCAACCAATGTTTCGTTTTCAATTCGTTCATAATACGAAGCTTCATTCTATGGCCTTCAAATTTTCACTGCTGGTGTACGGTAACTAGGACAAGATAAATGCAACTATTGGCATGTGCAGGCCGGACTGGATTTAGACCTTGGGGAGCCCGGGGCACTTTAGGTTTGGGGGGCCCTCAACATGGAAATTAAATTGGATTACAAATAAGAAATGACAAAAAATATGTTAGGTTTCGAAGAAGACGTCTGATTTTATGTTTCTAAATTTTATTGGCTTTAAGAATAGCTTTGACTATAATGTTCGGTTTGTAACATATTACATCTACACCATATAATATATTCCATCTACACCATATAATAATTACCGGTGTGTATTTATTTATATCTTTGGTGTCACGCTTTCGGTATCTATATATATTTTTTATATAATATGCCAATGGACGGGCCTGCCGACCGACCGACCAACCAACTAGACATTGAAGTTACAATAATGTAATTTATAAAAGGAAGAAACCATAACCGTCTAACTACAAGAAATTGATTCAATCCCCCCACTTTTTTTTTTTTGAAAAATTGACCCTATTAGGAGAGGGCCAGCTTATAACTGCCAGGAAAGGCTTTTTCTGTTTTTTACTTTTTAGTTAACTGACCTTGGATCTTAAAGAACATTTTAAATATTAATTCTGTTACGAACGTACACCCCCAGGACACTTTAGTACAATCATGCAACACCATCAGAATAATAATATCTAGCCTATGTTTATTCATATCTTTGGTGCAGAAATTCTAGGAAAAAAAAGATAGAAAAAATGGGGTATTCCATTTACAGGGATAAAAATGTATGTAAGGTAATAGGACAACATTAAAAGAGAAATTTATACCGGTGAAAAAATTTGTACCGATGAAAAAAATTTATGCCGATGAAAAAAATTATATAATAATTTCATAGGGAATGTATAAAATATAACAAGTAAGAAAAAAAGTATATGTTGCCTGGGTAAGATAATGCAAGTCTAAAAATTAAATTTTTCTGTAAAATTTAGCTACAAATAGTTTAGTTTAATCTATTAATTATAAAAAAATATATTGAATTCTAATTTGATCTAACAATGTCTAAAAAAAAATCCTCTCAAATAGTTTAGTATGATTTATTGAATAAATCAGCCGACTTTCTAGTAATGATATAAATTACTGGTTTTCAGATGAGGTATGAAGTTGTGGTGCTGTTATTTTTTAAACTGTGGACTAAACTGCAAGGTTATTCTCTTTTTTTTACGTACTGTATAAGATGTTATTGTATTCACACTAAATAAAATAAATACATAAATACATACATATTTACACTTTGCATACATATTTACCCTAATACATAATTACACTTTTGAAGATTGGGATAAGTAAATTTCTTGCATAATCTTTCCAGTCTGCAGCAAATCACCAAATTTACAAATCAAGCATTACATAAGTAATTGGAATTAGCAAACCATACATCACATTTATGCATCACATAATCACACTGCAATATCTGCAAAAAAAAATCGACACCATGCCCAGCCCTTTTAGGGTAGGGTAGGTGCCTGAGCCCGAGCTCTCAGCTCACAAGACTGTCATTCCATTAGTCCCCTTGGGGCGGGGATGGCAGACCAGAGGGGCCTAGCTTGTGGCTAGGACTGGGGACAGTTTAGTCCCAAAGATGAGGCACTTGTGCCTCCTCCCATGGGAGACTTCGGTCTCAGACACTCCCAAGACAGAGAGCCAAGGCCGGGCCACCACTTGGAAAAGACCCGGGCCTTGAGAATACCGGCGAATCTTTAATAATAATAATATCTGCAAAAAACTCTTTCTTTCTACACTCAGCATCTGACAAATCTTTCGCTCATCAAACTGTATCTTGAGGACACCGCTCTCAACATCCAATAGGCATAGATCACTTAGTCTTTCGTGGGTCATTGTCGTCCTCAGATAATTTTTTATCAGTGCCAGTTTGCTGAACGACCTTTCTCTCACACAACTAGTGACCATCATGCTCAAATATATTCTAAGGGCTACATTGATACCTGGAAAGGTATCAGTAAGCCCTTCATCATGTAGTAAAACTGCCTGTTGAGATGGAGTGAGACATGACCTGAGCTTGGCAAAGGCTGCAAACTGGACAATTTCCTCAACAAACACACTACTGAAGTCTTGAGGGTAAACCCTGATAAGTTCTTAGCCTCATTTTTTTTTTAATCTCTGTATCAGTTGACTATTACACTGAACCTGTCAGGTCATTTACCTCTAAACTGACGCTAACCAGAAATAGTTAAGCTATTCATAGGGAGTAAGGATGGCGGGGGGGGGGAACCTTTCTATTTTCTGATGCCCCCACACACACTTTATTCGTTAATTTCTTTTATTAATTAAACAATTTTTTTATTACGTTTTGTTATAAAGGAAGTCCTTCGTCTGGGGCCCCTCTGATAGATGATGCAGCAGGTCCAAGTGGTAGATAATGCAGTAGGTTTTATTGCTAGATAATTAATGTAGGAAGTCTGAGTGGCAGTTTACACTCGAAGTATTTTACTCATCACGGCTGGTTTACTCATTCACTGAAGCTAGCGAAATTATATATAGGTTTATTTTCTCTTCAGAATATTGTATCTGAGTTACACTGAAAGAGCAAACGAGTCGCATGCGGCCTGTTAGCAGTGATCTGCCATACTGAAAGCCAGCAGCTTGTCCAAACTGCAAACCATGGCGTTGCCACACTGCAAACCATGGCTTGTCAACACCGAGTTTGGATGGCGGATACACAGTCTCTTTAGAGAGAATTTACAGCACATGTGTGCATAGAATGAGGGTCTAACCGAACTGCTTCAACTGCATTGAGCGATGATTATATTCATTGGGAGAAGCGCTAAATCAGTATGGGTCATAAAGCACCTGTGGAAATGAGAGGCAATAATGCCCGATCCAAGAAAGAAGAGAGTAGCTTAAATTCAGTGCATCGAAGCACAAACTCCAGGTAAGGGGACTGAAAGTTGAGTGTTATAAAATAATCGCCGATAACTGCGTTTAAGCCCTCCACATGAATTAACCGTAGTTGGGAAAAATCTTGCTCCTTCACCAGATTCTAGAGTGAATTATTGCATGTCAGGTCAGGACTTCGAGGGACATGTACGAGACTCGACTAGGCCATCGTCCACTACATGGATAACTAAGATATTTTCGAACCCAGAAATATAACTAATGTGTAGGCCTGGTCACGGACCGGGCCGCGGGGGCGTTGACCCCCGGTACTCTCTCCAGGTAAACTCCAGGTCTCCAGGTGTAGGTACATCTTTCTGTTGATTATTGATCTATCTCCCGTAGTTGTGGAACGAACCATATTTGTAACATGTCCCGATATGCAGTATAACTAGCACGTCCCTCTAATAAGGAATGGGGAATTAAAAAAATGTTAAAAATATTGCACTTTATGCAAATGGAGTTTAGTACATACACGGTGGGCACAATAATAAATCACCTGTAAGTAAAATACTGTGCATTTTTATGTCTAAGCATTGCGTCTAAGTGGTACAAAAAACCAAGTTATCTTAATTGCGAGAAAGCATGAAAAATTAACACCTAATCTGTGAGGTGTAAATACTGTATAGGGTCATGAATCCTTGACCCCATGGCATAACTGGTCAGTCTCGCTGACCTCCATCTAGGCCGGCTTCTGCTTCCCTGAAAAAAATGCCACAGGCTTTGTATTTTTAAATGAACATTTAAGAATAATTGCGTTTTCTTTAATATTTTTTAATCCGTGTGTTGGTAAAGGATTTCTGTTATGGATGGAAAGGGATCAAGTAGTTAATAAATCCAGGTTGAGAATTTGATCCTTTTGGTATGGGTTCATTACGTCTTGAATGGAGGTGTGCAGGTGATATGCAGTCTTACTGACGTTTATACAGTCAATAGGTTTAAAGTTAACATACCAAGTAAGTGCTGTGGTCGAGGTGTGTGTACAGTGCTTCACTGTGTCACCTACACATACAACTTTCGCTACTTGATCCTAAATTTAATTATATAAGAAAATAATAACATGGATAAAACAAACTGCCAGTTGAATATTCAATATCCTAAAATTAAATATTTAAAATATTTCAGAAAAATAACATTGCTTTTACACCACTCTACTACAGTCACCATAACCCAACCACCACCACTACTACCATGCGTTCCTCTCTCTCTCTCTCTCTCTCTCTCTCTCTCTCTTATATATTTAATATTATATATATTATATAAATATATATATATATATATAATATAATATATATATATATATATATATATATATATATATATATATGCAATAAGATCACAGTAAACAGGTGTTTTTGAGAGCTTTACGAATTTGTAGTCCTGAGTTCATAGATGAGGAAATATCTAAAATTTATGAAATAGGTAATGATTTAAAATACCCAAGAAATGTAATTGATAAATCTTTTAAAGTTGCTAGAAATACTTTTTACAATCCAAAAAGGGACAACCAGCCTTATTCAACTAAAAATATGTTGGTTCTCCCTTACCATGAAAACTTGGTTGATATGCCTTCTCTTCTTAAGACTTTTAATATTAAAGTTGTATTCCAAAATCTAGATACAGTAAAAAAACTTTTGATAAAGAATTCCCCCCAAATGCTGATGATGTGTCTATAAGATTCCTTGTAAAATTTGCGATAAAGTTTATTACGGTCAAACTGGTAAAAATCTCGAACTAAGATTAAAACAACATAAATATAGCATTAGAACTGGACAAGATTCCAATGCTCTATTTATTCATGTAAGAGATTTTAACCATCCAATTGATTTTCAAAAAGTTGAGAAAGTAGTATCAAGCAAGTCCATGGTCGACAGGAATATAATTGAATCTTGTTTCATAAAAAGCAGTTTTGACAATAATATGAATATTTCCTTTGGTTTATATAAATTAGATCCATTTATAATTAATAGAATTTGGGAAGACTTTAATAATACACTGGACAAATAATAATTTTTAAATTTTCTTGGGTAGAATAGTTTGTGGGTCAGTTGTGCTAAGGACCTATCCAAGTTGGGTCGGCGCGCGTCAGGTGTTTTAACCGTTGTGGGATCTGATAGTGAGGTGCCGGCCAGACCCCTTATATAGCTTCCTTGGATGCTTTACTTTCATAGTTCCTTGATAATGTGAGTAATCACGAAAGCGCTTGGAATTTCTCTATTCTTTCAGAGTGGTTGTTTTGCATATATATATATATATAATATATATATATATATATATATATAATATATATATATATATATATATATATATATATATATATATAGGAGTCTGTGGAGACAAAGAACTTTGTCCTTGGAGGCAAAGAGGGGAATGTATGAGAGTATAGTTTTACCAACGCTCTTATGTGGGTGTGAAGCATGGGTGATGAATGTTGCAGCGAGGAGAAGGCTGGAGGCAGTGGAGATGTCATGTCTGAGGGCAATGTGTGGTGTGAATATAATGCAGAGAATTCGTAGTTTGGAAGTTAGGAGGAGGTGCAGGATTACCAAAACTGTTGTTCAGAGGGCTGAGGAAGGGTTGTTGAGGTGGTTAGGACATGTAGAGAGAATGGAGCGAAACAGAGTGACTTCAAGAGTGTATCAGTCTGTAGTGGAAGGAAGGCGGAGTAGGGGTCGGCCTAGGAAAGGTTGGAGGGAGGGGGTAAAGGAGGTTTTGTTTGCGAGGGGCTTGGACTTCCAGCAGGCATGCGTGAGCGTGTTTGATAGGAGTGAATGGAGACAAATGGTTTTTAACACTTGACGTGCTGTTGGAGTGTGAGCAAAGTAACATTTATGAAGGGGTTCAGGGAAACCGGCAGGCCGGACTTGAGTCCTGGAGATGGGAAGTACAGTGCCTGCACTCTGAAGGAGGGGTGTTAATGTTGCAGTTTAAAAACTGTAGTGTAAAGCACCCTTCTGGCAAGACAGTGATGGAGTGAATGATGGTGAAAGTTTTTCTTTTTCGGGCCACCCTGCCTTGGTGGGAATCGGCCAGTGTGATAATAATAAAAATAATATATATATATATATATATATATATATATATATATATATATATATATATTGACTGGAGGCGGAGTATGTAAACATGTCCAATGTGTTAATTACTTTAAATTGTAAATTTTAAGGAGTTAATGAGATATGTGAAGAGTTTGAGCCCACATTACATACGCTGAGTGAAGTAAGTAAACACTACAGAGTGAGTGCAGTGTGATGGTATATGACAGAGGAACCATTGCTAGCTCTCGTTTCTTACAGTGTAGCTATCATGTAGAATAGTATGGTTGTACACTGTAATTGGATGCAAGTCTGTTTAATAAAAGCTGTTGAGAAATATTGAACACTATAACAGACGAGAGGACATGCAGGTAAGCGTGCAGTAATGCATAATACTGACGATCATGGCAGCAAGCAGTCTATCTTCACATGTAAAAAATAAAAACTTATCGTTACTCCAGCAACTTATTACAGGAAAGACAATTTTTTTTAAAGGAAAATATCTGATGAATAAAATTAGGCAAAAATTGGTCCAGAGCGCGTCTAGAAATGTTTTTTTCTCTTAATATGTAATATTATATGCAATAAAGACACTAATTGCGGTTTTAATATTAAACTTTGTTCATGCAACGTTTCACTTTTGCAGTAACTTGTTGCAAGAGAGAAACTTTGCGTAATAAAGTTTCCCATAACTTCAGTTTGTCTTTATTATATGAGAACTGTTCGTATTAATGTATCATTATTTGTTGTGTGTATATTAGTGATGAGTACACGAGACTTCAGCGTCTGGAAACTTTCACTCGTGGTGACGTCCTGAAACACTCAGACTCCAACTGACAAAATTATATGGGAGAGTGGTAAACCCGTATGGCGTCTTACAATACCTGGGGAATGATAAACAAGCAGATACGGTTTGAGGAAGATGAAGAAAGCTTAAGTTCCTTGGATCAAGATCCCTTCACCAGCATCAAGGCACCCCACTGGAAGGCGTCAACTGCTACAAGAATTCCAACATGGATTTAAAAAAAAAAAATTTAGAAAAATCTTTACTTCTTCAGCGATATCTTCCGTATCACTGACTCCTGGAGGGAAGTTTCTTGAAATTGGTGAGGGGCTCTAGATCCAAGGAAGCAACCTGCTCTCTTCTTCCTTGCATCAAACCTGAATGCGTTCCATTCCCCAGGCACTGTATGACCCCTACGGGTTTGGCTGTCACCTAGATATTTTCATATTCAGTATCGCTGACGGTTCACAGCGGGCGATAAATTTGACCTAGAATTAGAAAAGCTTTTGATAATTCCCTTTTCAGAATTTCTCAGAAGTCAATGCCCTGGTATAATGTGTCAATACTTGTGGCATAATGTGTTAATACTGCTTAAGTCAGAGTGGATACCCATGCCCCAAGTGGGCAAGTAGTCTCCGTAGGCATTCCATAAAATATGTGCATGTAATTCACGTAAGTGAATCAACATCACTGGGTATTTGGTCTAGTGTTCGGCCTGGAAGACAATATTAAAACAGCTCAGTATGTTCCTCATCTCAATGTATATATTAACGATACTGATGTCAGTTCAAAAAGCATTATCGTTAGTTAAATTTGGGGCCGGCACAGTTAGGGAATAGTGAATTGAACAATGTTCACTAATAGCGACAAAATATCTAAATAAAATAATAATATGGATAAGTGACTCGTAATAGACTTGAAGGCGGATAATTGTGACGTAATATACAATAGCAGTGAATCCAAGGAAATTAAATACAAAATGAGTGGTGTATAAGTCACTTGACTGTAATGAACGCTCACCCACTGGGTAAATATTCTTGACCTAACAACACTATCATCACTGTAAATCTAGGTAATAAAGGTCAACACTTCCCTTGAGCGTAGTGCTGCTGAGGTAATGAAAGGCTTTTGATTTGAAGAGCTAAATGATGCTTTCTACTAATTAATCCTAAGCTAATTCTATCATAGACTAAAATCAAAAATTGTATCGTGCTATGCCACTATTATTAATATGGCGATACATGGCTCCAACAAGTGCCATACCCTGAAGCCGCTCCAGCATATTCACAAGCATAAGTTAAAAAAATAAATTATAGAAATGCGTTATTATTGTCATCAATACGCCTTCGGGGTTGTAAGACAATGTCTTTTAAACATTTTTAATATTATTAACAACATGCAGTTGTTTGAGTGAGTGGCCGAGCAGAGGATGAGCGTCGACCTACCAGTGGGTTGAACCAGCGGACGGTACGGTAGAGCCTTGGCGAGTCGCGACCAGACACGAAGATCTAAAGTATACAAATATGGAGTTAGCTGTGGTCTTGCATTCTGCTGCCAATACACACACACACACACTCACACACACACACACACACACACACCACACACACATTATATAATATATATATAATATATACATATAATATATATATATAAAATAAATAAGGTAATATTCCAATTTAAGGCCGTTCCCCGAGCCATGACCCCCCCCAAAAAAAAAACATCCAAATATAAATTTCTACACCCTAAAGTTTTTTCCCGGAGGGCCACAAATCAAGTTTTCCAAACTGTACTCCAAACAGTAAATATAAAATCCTCCTCTAAAGTGCAGGCATTGTACTTCCCACCTCCAGGATTCAAGTCCGACTAACCAGTTTCCCTGAATCCCTTCACAAAATATTACCCTGCTTATACTTCAACAGCCTGTCAAGTGCCAAAACCATTCTTCTCCACTCACTCCTATCTAACACGCTTACCTGTAGACATGTCTGCTGTATGTCCAAGCCCCTTTCACACGAAACCTCTTTTAGCCTCTACCTTTTCCTAGGACAACCACTATCCTTACTTCCCTCCGCTACAGATTTATACACCCTCCAAGTTATCCTATTTTGCTCCATCCTTTCTAAATGACCACACCACCTCAACAACCCTTCCTCAGCCCTCTGAATAATACTTTTAGTAACTCCACACATCCTCCTAATTCCACAATACGAATTCCCTGCACAATATTTACACCACACATTGGCCGTAGACACGACGTCTCCACTGCCTCCAGCCTCCTCCTCGCTGCAGCATTTACACCCATATAAGAGTGTTGGTACCAGTATAGTCTCGTACATTCCCTTCTTTGTCTCCATGGATAACGTTCTTTGCCTCCACAGATACCTCAATGCACCACCCACATTTTTCCTTCAATTCTATGGTTTACCTCGTTCATCATAAGCCCATCCGCTGACAAGTCTACTCCTAAATATCTGAACACATTCACTTCTTCCCTTCTCCATACTCCCTCCGTCCAATGTGATATCAAATTTTTCCTTATCTAAATCGTTTGATAGTCTCATCATCTTACTCTTATCCATGTTCACTTTCAACTTTCTTTGCACACACTATCAAACTCGTCCACTAAACTTCGCAACTTCTCTTTAGAATCTCCCAAAAGTATAACATCAACAGCAAAAAAGTAGCCATTTCACACCGAGGTAGGATGACCCCAAAAATTTAAAATTTTTGCCATCATTCACACCATCACTGTCTTGCCAGAGGTGCTTAGATACGACAGTCACTCTAAAAAGCAAATATCCCAAACTCTCATTTAGAACTCAAGTTCAGCTAACCGGCTGAGGTTGGTGTCAAATATTTATATAAACATATAATAAAAGTGCACTGAAGTAGGCTTGGTAATAGTCTTGTAGAGCAAGCCCTATCCAAAGTGTCATTGATGTGTTTCAGTGACTCCTATGAGTGGTCTGATGAAGCATTGATGTGTTGGTCTTGTATAGGCCCTTTCACGCTTGATATTGTAATTTTTAATGGCATTTGCTTTATGGTAAAACGTTTAGACACTGACACATACATGACTGATATATGTATAAACATTCATACTTATATTTATTAGACAAAGTATTTTCTTAAATGTGTTGAAAATGTCTCGGGAAACAGATTACAAGTCTGTCTCCATCCTAAAGGACATGTTCTCCATACCCAGGAAGGTTATACGTGTGAGGCAGAGGTTCTCTGCAGAGGTCGCAGTTCTTGGTGCGACTCTCTGGCTAGCAGTGTTGGAGGAAGTTGTAGTGGTGGTGTAGGAAGGTGAAGAGACATCTGAGTTGACAGTAGCAGTGGTGGCGGCGGCGGTTTTATTAGTGAATGGAGTTGAGGGTATAGTGGAGCATGTGCAGTCCAAGTTAGCGCGGGGTTTGGTACTGATGTTAGGGATGCTGCTTGAGAAAGGCTTGGAGATGAGGTCATCCATTCTCCTCAAAACATCATTTGTAATAGCCGGAGTGGGTGGGCACGACGAAGGAACAGGAATGTTTTCTTCCCGTATTGTTGACTTTCCCAGTCTGGGAATGTATTGATTCTCCCTGAACAGAGGGTTCAAACACTCTTCCTCTTGCTCTGTTGTGTCGTTCTTGAAGGAGTTTATAGTATTGACATTTGTGAGTGTGTTGATCTCTTCGCCAGAGATACTTGCGTTCCCCAACCACGTATCCTGGTGGTTACCTTTAAAGCTATTCGAACCCCAGTTGCTTAGATTTTTCTTCTCCTTCACTTTCGCGTTGGTTAAAGCTTTGGGACTGTTGGTTTTTGAGTCTATGGAGCCATACTGGTCGTAAAAATCCGGGGACCTCAGGTCACTGCAGCTTTTATATATGTTAACGCTGTAGGTGAGGGTATCGGAGAACCTGACAGTGTGGTCCATTTCCATTTTGTGGTGAAGACTTCTCGGGGACTGAGACAATCTTTTATCTGACGCTTCGACATTAAACCTGGCCCTCTTCAACTGGTAGCGCTTGTAGATGACGAAAAATATTCCCGCAAATACAGTGCATAGAAGTGACACCCCTACACTTCCAAGGATCAAGTACAACATTCCGAAATGCTCCTTTTCCAAGTCAGATTTAGTTTCGAAAATTAAAGTTCGCTTAGTTTCATAAGATTCTATGTAGAAGGAGGCGTTGTGTAGATCAATCCGAAGGTTTTTGTGAGAGAGGAGAGTCTTCAGATCTTCTTCAAAGTTTGGGGAAGGGGCTGAGCCCTGACATTTGACATTAAATTGTGTCCCCCCTGAGCACTTACGAGTTGCCAACAAAATTGTCTTTTTTTTATAAAACCCAGCAAAAATTTTAAAAGACGTAATAAAAAAATTTTCAAGACAAGAACATTCAAATTGGGTTCCTTATTAAAGAGGAGACAATTCCCCTCTGAGGACGATGAAGAACCAGACCCCAGCTGCTCTGAAAACTCACTTTTGACAATGGGGGTTTTGGTGAGGTAACCTGTGGGTAAATAAACCCAGTGGCTACAAATTTATTTTTTTTTCTGTCACATTTCTGTGAAACTTTTTTTTCGCGCAGATCAAAATCAGAAATTTGGGTAGTTGCCCAAATTTTTTAGTTATTGAAACTGATACCCGACAGTAACATCTTTGGGTTTTCCCTTCATACTTTTAAAAATCAATCGTATTGTCATTCTTTTCCAAAAAAAACTTTTTGGGGAACTGTAATTTCAACTTCAAGATTTTTGTGAGGGCATAACATCTCTTAAATTTTTTCTTCGGGGTTTTTGGGGTGTGCTTTCAGGAGGCTCTTTTATTGGGCGTAAAAATTAAAATCCGCACGAGGAGAGAAAAGGGGCCAGAAATTCCTAAAGTCTCTCCCAACCCGTGAAAGGGGGAAATTCTCCACGAAAAAAGGCATAGAAAAACGGGTCGTCTGGTGAAATAAGCTTGATTTTCTGCCCCCGGTGGGAAAAAACAGCCGTTGAAAACGTTCAAAATTTTTCCCGGGGCTGCGGGGAAACGAGGGGTGGAAGAAATCGGGGTAATGGTGGGACAATGTCGAAACCACTGGGGAATTCCGGTAATGAGGACGGCGGAGGGGCAAAACAGCGGACTATTTTTTGAAGTTCGCTTTTTTTGGGGCATTTAAAACTTGTCTCTTGCATGATTCTGGTGGAAAAAGAGAATCAAACCTCAGTTCAGCCCCGCCCTTAAATTTTTTTTAAAACTTTACTAATCAATAAAAGTGCATAGTTTAATAATAATATAAAAAAAAAATTTTTCGCACGAAGAAAAAAACATTTTTTCATGCTGAAATTTTGGGGGCTAGACAGAAATTAGTCACTGATGCCAAAAAAAAAAACTTGGCACTGTCATGGCTCGAACAATTCACAGTTAAAAAATTAAAAGTAAAGTTTGTTTTGCTTTTACCATTATTTTAAAATTTTACATATTTATCTTTAAAAGGGGGCAGTGACAGAAATTTTTCCAAAATGACACCTAATTTTGTGACTCGGGGGGACTTTTGGATTTTAATGGCACTAGCGTTTATTCTTGTTTGGCATTTCCCGTAGAGGCACTCTCACTTGAAGATTCAGTGCTTCCTTCACAAATCAGAAACCAGCATCCCGGAAATTTTTCCCCCGGCTGGCTCACCGCTAAACCCGGCCGCTGAAACCCCAAAATACAATACCATATTCTTGCAAGGCATGCCCTTAAATTTAAAACACGGGACTGACAGCGCGGGCATCTACAAAAATCAAAGCCCGGGAAAAATGTACTGGCAGGGGTAAGCATCTACTTTAAAAAAAAAGGGGGGGGGGGGAGAGAATAAATAAAAAAATCTCACCTTTAAAAAGAAAGCACAGAAGGGGGTCGGGTCCCAAAGGTAAAAGTTTTTCTGCTGCTGCCTGTTTTTGGGTTGCTCGGGTTCTGTTGCTAGTGTTACTCTGTTGGTGTTGCTAGTGTTGCTCTCTTGCGTTTTGGGGTTTTTCTAGTTTTTACACTTTTGGTTTTGCTATTTGTTTCCCTCTTGCTGTTTGTTTGCTAGTGTTCTCGGTTTCTTTTTTGCTAGTATTGCTCTTTTCCCTGTTGCTGCTGTATTGCTATTGCTCCCTACTGCTGATGATTTTTGCGTCTTTGTCGCTATTTCCCTTGCTGTTGCGTATGTTGTTCCCTGTTTACTACTGTTTTTGGGCTACAGGGCTGCTGTTGTTGCAAAATTTAACTTTTTCTTTTTGCGGGTTGATGCTTTTGTTGCTGTTCCTACAAACAAAACGAATAATTAAATTAAAAAATGGGAAAAACCAACATTTTTTTTTCTAAAATGAAACTTAAAACCCAAAAAAATAATCTAAATGAGATAGCATTTGACGGAAAATTTTCCCCGAGTGGAGCTGGGAAAAATTTGAAAATTTTTTGTACGGGAAAATTAAAAAATTAAAGCAACCCTTTAAAATTTTTTCCCAAAATTTAAAATGGTAAGTCCAGAAAAAAGAAAAAAGAATCTTATGCAAGTGCAAAACAATTGACCGTTTTAACAGACCCCTGGAGAAGGATTTGACATAAAAGAAGGCGGGCATTTTACGGAAATAGTTGAAAGGGGAGCTTGAAAAAAAAAAATTCATTATTTTGAGTAATTTTGAAACCATTTAAAAATAAAGTACCTACAGGCCCGGGGAAGGCCAATTGGGAAAATTAACTAAATCTTAAATATAACGTCCCCCCTTTCAATTTCTCGCCCATCAAACCCATTTAAACTTCTCTTTAAATTTATAGGGGTTTTTTTCATATTTCTTTTTTATTATAATAATAATTTTTTTATTAATATATTAATTTTATATATATAAAATTAATATAAATTTAAAAAAATTTTTATATATATATATGTATAAAATGTATATATTTTAAAGTAAAGTATGTAAAATATGAAAAATATGTATGTAGTATATATTTTAAAATATATATGTATGTATGTATTTATGTAAAAAATAATGTTGTATGATAAATTGTATATATATATTTGTATGAAAAAATTTTTATATAAGTATTATATAAATTTTGAGTAAATAAAATATTTATGTATGTATTTTTAAAGTATATAAGTAAAGTATATATGTTTTGTATATAAAATTTGTATGTATATATAAAATGTGTATGATATATGTATAAAATAAATAGTATAAAATGTATTATAAAATATGTATAAATATTGTGTATAAAAAATTTTGTTATATATATATTGGGGGTTTTAAAAAATGTGTATTAAATATGTGTATATTAAAAAGTATAATATATTATATATATATTTTTATATATATAAAGTAAATAAATGTAAAATATAAAATATGTTTTAAAATTTTAAAGTATATTATATATATAAAGGGAAATATATAATTTTATAAAATAAATATATGTAAAAATTATGAAATATTTTATATTATTTTATAAATGTATATAAAGTATATAATTTTAAATTGTAAAATATAAGTATAAAATATGAAAAATATAAGTATTAAATATGTATATAAAAGTATATATATTGTATATTTTAAAAGTATATATATATGTATAAATAGTATAATATAAGAAAATATATGTATATAAATATGTATATATATTTTAAATATATATGAAAATATATGTATATATAATGTAATTTTATGTATATATATATGTAATAAAATTTTATTATAAATTAAAATTTTATATTAAAATAAATGTTAAAAAATTAAAATATTTATAAAAATAAAAGTAAATATTATGTATATATATTTATATATAAAGTTATATATATTTATATAATAAATAATATAAGTTTTTAAATATATGTAAATATTTATATATATATGTAAATAAATATTTTATATATAAAAAGTATATATAAAAATTTTAAAATAAAAATATAAATAAAATTTTATATATAATTTTAAAATATGATATATATATATGTAATATATATTTTTATAAAAAATAGGTAAAAAAATTTCAAAAAATTTAAAAAAATTTTAAAAAATAAAAAAATTTAAAAAAAGAAAAAATTATATAAATAAGACAAAAAATTTAAAAAATAAAAAACAAATAAACAAAAAAAAGAAATAAGAAAATAAACCAAACCATAACCAAATTTTCCCGAATACAAAAATAATAAATACCCCCACATTCAAACACACTTAAATACCCTAAAAAACACCACATAAAACACCTAAACACCAATCAAACCACTACGACCCCAAAATCTCCCAAAAAAAACCCCCAGAAAAAACAATACACACCACTCAAAACATACACAAACCTTAACACAACCCCATTTTCCAAAACCCCATACACTCCACAAAACCACCCCCCATCCCCCCAAACAAACAACACACCCTACACACACACACAAAACACCCCTCACCAACTCCACACAATCCCCCACACTCACCACGGGCACTTCACAACAACAAAACCCACAACACTCCATACACACACGACCCACATACCCCAAAACAACACAAATTTCACACACACATACACACACAAAACACACACAAACTTACACATACACCCCCCAAAAAAGACTCAAAACAACATTACACACACAACAATACACACACACACATACACACACACAAACACACACACATAAAACACACACATACCACTCAAACCCGACACCCTCCCAACACCTTCACACAACAACACACACCCCAAAATCCACCACACCAAAAACACACACTACACACCCACACATACACACACACAAAACACAAAACACACAACTAACCACACACAACACACAACATAAAACACACACAACACACAACCCCAAAACACACACATAACACCCCACATACACACACACCAACACCCCACATAACACACACACAACACCCAACCCAAAAACAAAAAACCCCACCCAAAACCACAATAACAAACCCCCCACAAAAACAACACAACATACACACAACTACCACCCCATACACACAAAAAACAACACAAAAAACATCCACACAATACACACAACATACACACACAAACCACAAAAAATACACAAACATAAAACCCCAACAAAACAACCACAACACATCCCCAAACCCCCACAACACACATACACACAAAAACAACCAACATACCCCCCACATACCCCCAAAAAAAAAACCCCCCCCCCCCCCCCACAACATACACACAAATACAACACACATACACAACAACCAACACACAAAACCCTAATACAACACACAAAACACACAACAAACCACAAACACACACATACT